TCCCGAGCTTAACAACTACCCTTACTCCTCTGCACCAAAATATGTAAAAATCGCAGCACAAAAGACCGCTTGGGGTCAGCTGACGGAAGCTACATTTCCTCAAAATAACAAATTATAGATATAGTTTATTATACATATAGATAATTATAAAACATGCCTTTCACAGCTGAAACACCGTCAATTCTCTACTTTTGGAAAATCTAACAAAAACAAAGCCGAAACGGTTCTAACACATCAAACACAACGAGAGCCGAAACCGTGTGGACCAGAATCAGCAACAGATTTACGCTTCCTTGTTGATACGTTCTTCTTGTGCATCCATCTCGGCACGGATCTCCTTTGGAAGATCTGGTCCCACCTGGAACTCGACTGATTACGGTATGGTCCTGTAGGATAGTTTAGAAGGTTGATGCATACCTGTTCGTCGAGGAACTTCCTGATCTCCTTGGCATCGTTTGACCAGTAGTCCTTTGGTACTGACATAAGCTCGTCCCACTTGATGTCCGGCAGACCTTCAGCATTGATTGAGCCCTGAACAATATCTGGGATTCAGCAGAGGATCTCGTAAGCCAAGCTAACTCATATAACTAACAAGTAGGTGAGTCAAGAAGTGAAACCGCTACGTAACCGCGCGCGTCGCGTTCAATCTGCCACAAGATCGCGGAACAGATGGACAACATAATTGAAAAAGTCTGTTGAGTTCTCAAAAACATAAAGAAGTCGTTCCAGGACAAGGTTAAGGTCAGTAAAGAAGAAACCTTCAACTATTTCGAGCAGCTTTGTTTGTCATAATTGGTTCGAGTCCAACCCAAGCCGCTGCGCGACCGCGCGCGTGCGGCCGACGCGCGCATCCAGCGATACCTCTACCATTATTGATGCGATAAAAGTTGATTTTCGGACATTGTTCACGGTCACCTGACAAAAACTGGTGCTCCACAAGTTACAACATCTTTGAAGCTATTCTCAGTGGAGCGCCGAATGCTACTTTAAAAAGTCGAAGGTGGGGGGGTCTCGCCCTTGGCTCACGGACTCAGTGGATCTTTCTTTTTACTCTTTCTAGGCCGGACATGTGTCTGAAACAGAAACCAGGCTGAGTCACTTCGCGAGCCCCACCACCGACCCGCCTCCTTCAAACTGCGCTGATCTGCTGGTGAATCTTCAATAAAACTAGCATGAAACAATAAAAATCTACATAATTGAGGAGGAGCGTATTAAAACAATACATCTGCTCTGTTATGGGTGGGGAAGTAGGGTTCTGCCAGTCTGGGAATTGGGAGGCCAGCGATGAGGCTGCTTCGGGTGACGCGCGACACTGCAGTGGCGCTTCAGTGCTATGGTGGGGAACGCAGCAATAGTCCGATAGCGATCAGCGTCGCCCGCTGGTCTACTTGGAGAGGATAGGAGATTAGGAGGGTACCAGACTGTGTGCTTAGGCGACATGAAATGGAAAGGTCCGCATAGGAGTTACAAAACGGCGGCGCTCCTATTCTATGATGCCTGATAATACAGTCTGGTACGTCCTACACCCTTGCAAAACCGCTAGCGGCAGGTGCCGATCGATACCTGTTTATAGCACAGGAGCGCAACTGAACGGTCGCGCGTCGACGCGCGTCATCGCAAAGTCTGAACGCAGCCCAAGAAAGTAAGAAAGCGGTGAAATTTGACTTTTGGAGCAATCATGTTGAAACGTAGTTTTCCTTGGAAGCGCTCTGACCCTATCCTTATCAAAAGCTCAAAAGGTTGCGAAGTTATCCAAATTTTCGGAGAGAACTGGTTAGCCCCTGGCAATTTAGGTTAACGTTCTAGTAGCTCACCTTCTTAGGCACAACTCCGATAGGAGTATCGACACCGATGTCCTGCTCACCGTCAAGTCGGCGAACAATCCAATCGATAACACGGATATTGTCACCATAGCCCGGCCAGAGGAATTTGTTGTCAGCATCTCTACGGAACCAGTTCACATGGTAGATCTTTGGTACCTGAATGGAAAAGCGCTTCACCCTCGGTCTTCCCGAATAAAGCAGGAGGACCTTAGACTCTCACGGACCTTTCTTCCGGGCTTGTTCAGATCAATCCAGTGTTGGAGGTATTCACCAAAGTTGTAACCCATGAACGGACGCATTGCCATCGGATCGTGCATAACAGTCTT